GTACATACGTACATACATATACATACATACATAGTACGTACGTACATACCTACATACATATATATGTATATATGTCCGTGTGTGCGACACACACACATATATACACACACACACACACGCGCGCGCATATACATATATATGTGATTAATGGGTATCATAACCACACTTAGTGGAGATTGTGCCACATCATTGTATATGATGGAATCCCCTCATATGACATATGATGCCTACGCGCGCGCGCGCGCACACACACACACACATATATATATCAACAGAGCATGTACAAGACAGATTATTGTTGAACTCTCCAAACAATAGTTACGATGTAGATCAAGCCATAGCCTTCATAAGATTGTGAAGAGAAAGAGAGAGAGACAAGAGAAAATCTCTCACCTTTTCCTTTAATCTCTTAGGCATCAAAAGCTAATGAGACCTATAAAACCACTTAATTTAAGGCCATTATTTCAGCTAGTGCCCACCTTTTGTACATTAGTTTAGAGGGAAGGCTCAAAGTAATCAGCAAAGGAGGTGGAATAGCATGTCATTTGAAAGTTTTTAAGGGCAAGGTTGAGATAAAGCAGGATTTGGAGCAATACGCATGCGGTCCTCTCATGAAATGGAAAAAGCTAAACAATAGAGGCATTGTTTACTTAATTAATCACTGTCAACTTTTGAAAAGCTTTGTTTAATCCCTGTTGACCCCATTTATGTAAATTATCAAAACAAGTTTATGTGGAGTACTATGTGGATGTGTTAGTGCTAACACCTCTTTCTCGTTCTCTATTAGTATATTTAGAAGTATGAGGACTAGAATCTACACCCCAGTTTGTGGATCCCAGTGATGGATGGCAAGAAAAGTTTTCGAAGGGAAAAATCTTCAGTGATGTGTTCATTGGACAACCGGTGGTCCACGAAGATAAAAATCCTAGGATTAGTATATTGATCTTTAGCGCTTCACTCCTTGCATTTATGTGACAGTTCTCTTTTGGTCTACAAGGCGTGAATGAGATACAATTCACTATATAATTTCACTTTCAAGTAAGGGGAGGATTTTGGGTGATGTTGGAGAACACTAGCTAGAGCCGACGTCAACGGATGAATGCTTTAGAGCATGGCTAGAGATGGGACCTTAAATGTCATTTAATAACAACGTCAAGAACATGAAAAACACACAACAAAATCACTGTCCATCTGTCATGCAACAAGGAAACTAGACAAAGTTTGTTCTTGGCATCTGGCAAGAAATAATGGCCATCAATCCGTCTATAGGATTGGGCGCCAAGGTTGAGCAAATAAACAAAGGGATCTCATAGAAACAGAAAACATAAGTAGATCCAGAAATCGCTTGCTAGCTACTGTTCTACAATCAGTAGCATGTCAAGAACAGTTCTTAGAATCATTTAACTCAAACACCCTACACAAAAAACACATGAATGTTTATGAGAAATCTAGTGCTGCAATAATAAGAAGATCCAATGTACCTGCCGTATGAGCTACAAAATGCATGGAAACTCTTGTTGTCCAAGGAAAGTCGTCAAATCCCACTTTGGTTGATCCAATCAAAGAAAGATGTTGCAAAGTGCATGAGCGCAGCGCAATTTGAGGCACAAGAAAAGGCACTACATGAGATCTGAAGATGGCCATCATTCTAAAGCACAAGATGATCTCAATACAAGCTAATACACGGGGCATACCGCAGATGCAAGTTATCTTCAGCTTAAACTCTGGTCAATAGTTCTCCTTTACACTCCCCACAATGACACATGAAACACAAGGAGGCCTACAAGAAATAGGAAAATAGAAGAGTAATTTCTAAATGAAGCCCTGAGCTTCATTTCAAACTGTTATTATGTCAACTACATGCAGCACACCAACTATCAAACACAAATGGAATGTTTCGTCAGCTGTTAATGGAACTTCATGCAGCTACAACTGCAACGAGCTAAACTTTAGATGTTTGATTAACTGTAGCAGTTGAAGGCCACTTTTTGGGGGAGAAATCCTATAAATGGTCCTCTATAGAGATCTTATATGAAGGAAGGAGAATGTGACATGTGCCCATTACCAATTTTTATATCAGAGCAATCAATATGCAAAACCAATGCGATCGATAAGTGTCATCACAAACCAACACTGAATCTAATGCGGACATCCAGGCACATGCACAGGATTTTCGACATGTCTATCAGCGCAGGAGACGCTGTGTTTCAGCTTTGCATTGGGTCCCTACTATGTGGTTTTAGTTGAGATGGAGTCGAGTCTGTATTTTCAGTTGTTTTTCTTTTAATAAGAGTTGTAGTTACTTTTGCTTAATAAGAGCTTTATTTTAGTCTCACATTAGATGTGGAGAGAAATGAGACATTCTGTGAGCCTATTTAAAGGCGGATTGGTTTGTAAGCAAGGTAATGAAATTTTTGAAGAAATAAAATATTTGAATTTTCCCAAAGAAATGAAAATTCTCCTTCTATGTATTGGGTGTGTGAAACCCAATTATTAGATCTAGGTGTGTGAAACCCTAGTTCTCTACCCTCTTTCAAAATCAAATCCCCCATTTCATTTAGTCATCCCTTTTACATTCAGCAAACTATTACAATCCTATCAATTTATCCCAACCACCCACTCACTCTCAAAACAAATCACAGCCTCCCATTACATAAAAAAAACCCCATAGATCTGATTCTTTCTTTCCATCCGCCCTCCCTCCTCTTTCCTCTCTTCATCAGCGTCGAGCCCCCCTCCTCATCCGCATCGACCACTCCTCATCAGTGACGAACCCTCTTCCTCATCAACGCCCTCCTCCCTCGCCGACGACGCCCTCGTTCCTCCTCGCGACGACACCCTTCGGCCGCTCCGACGACGCCATCGTCCCTCCTCGCGACGACGTCCCTCCCTCTTCGACGACGCCTTCGTCTCCCCTGCGAGACCACTTCTTCCCTCATCTGCGACGATAGCCAGCCCCCCTCTCGCTGGTCCCTCTACACCGCCACGACCACCCTCTACTCATCAGTGACGACTGCCCCCAAGCAACCAATCGACGACCAACCTTCATCGGCGCCTTGCGCAGCCACTCCATGCCGGCACCTAGCTTCACCAGCGTTTCGACCGTCAGATTTGATTAACCTGCACAAGGAATAAGCAAGGAGGTAATTCAAGTGAGTCCAAACCACGAATTCTATCAGGTAGTCTATTCTTTCAACTATTAGAATATTGTTGGGTTCATCATATATGTTACATCTCTAAATTATTATCAATTTTGTGCTGTTCCAATTACAATTGGTAAGGTGTGTGATCTGTTGACTCTACATTTTACTGAATTTTGATATTGAGATTCGAACAATACCATCGTAACTTGAATTACATTTAATTTTAATAAGATTCAACTGGTTTAAAACTACACTGCAATTTAATCCAATATTAAGTAATTTTGAATCTATTTCCTACACGATCGTGATTTAGTTGGTGAAACATTACGAAACTTCAATTAAATTGTTGATCTCTTGAATACACGCACGTTGTTTCACATCATTTTGGTATCAGAGCACGGTTAGGTAGGAAATTGCATCATATTTAGTTTGCATTTATTATTCCGTCTACAATTGCATTTAAAAAAAACTGCATCTTTTAGTATGTTTGGACGTGATTAGTGCATGCCACTCCGTAGTGGTCAAACTTATTTATTAGGAGAGTCTAGCGAGTCAAATAATTTTAGAATGGATTCTAACACGTTCCCCATAGCCGACCTCATGAGTCAACTCAATGCTTTGACCCAAGCCGTGAACGAAGTTCGTCAATCTCAACAAGAAGATCGTGACATGAGAGATTGCAGAGGTTAGAAATACGTGGGACACAAAACAACGAACACAATGAAGAGCACGTGCCAATCAGAACCTACCAAAGACGTAATGCTCAAGATCCTGATGAACGATACCTGAAGAGCATTAAGCTGGACGTTCCCACTTTTGATGGCCGATCGGAGCCTAAAGATTTCTTGGAATGGATCCGACAAGTGGACGATTACTTTAACTGGTATCCACTTTCCGAAGAGAGAAGAGTCAAATTTGCGGCAATGAAGCTAACTGGTCAGGCTAGCCAATATTGGGCTAACCTGGAAATGATGAGAGTAGCTCCCCAAATAGGTCCCATCGACACATGGGCAGTTATGAAAGACAGGCTCAAAGAGAAGTACGTACTTGTCTCTTACTACGATCGTCTTCTCGACAACCGAAACCGATTTATACAAGGTAATAAATCCGCTAAGGATTATGTTACTCAATTTGAAGAGTTCCAAATTCAGTGTAATGCTTTGAACATTGAGAACCCCTACCAAACTCTCTCCCTATTTAGAGCCGGACTTCAAGAAGATTTGCGAAATGAACTCTTGATTCGAGGAATTTCTGAACTTGAGAAAGCCTATGCCGTAGTTCTAGACTTAGATACTACGAGGTCTAGCTCCACTTTCAAGAATTCTGTACAAGGGCACAAATACACTTCGAGTCAATATTCGACTCGATTTCAAAATCAAACATCATCACAGAAGACCAACACCTCGAGTGGGAATAAGAAACGGGATAACAAAGGCAAGGGCACTGAAAGAAACTTTTCAAAGATTAGTTCCACTACCAAATGTTACAAGTACCAAGGGTATGGACATGTGGCTGCTAATTGTCTTAGTTAAAATCGCCATTGTCAATGGAGAGCCTGTAGAAGAATTACAGTCAAAGACAAATGAATTCATCTATCATGTGGAAGAAGAGGATTTCGACTCAAGTGAGGAATTTGACGAGAATGATATTAGTCTTAGTTGCATTCGATCAACACCGTCAAGTTAACTAGCTGTCGTTAGATGTGCTTTGTCCCAAATAAAGGACAAGGATGATTGGAGATGAACAAACATGTTCCACACATTCACAAAGATTGGAGGAAAATCCTGTAAAGTTATTGTGGACAGTGGAAAATGCATCAATGCAATATCGTCTACGGAACTTGCGAAATTTAGTCTGAAAGTTGTATCCCATCCGCACCCTTATAGAGTCACATGGATTGATTTTACCGCACTAGACATCAAACAAAAATGCGTTGTACCGATAGACTTTAATCTCTACAAGGATAAGAATTGGCATGACGTTGTGACCATGGATGTGGGTCATGTCATCCTTGGACGATCATGGTTGTACGATAATGATGTAACTATCTATGGTCGGTCAAACATGTGTCATTTTGAACATGAAGGAAAGAAGATCAAGTTGCTCCCCAGTGCACCTAAGGCTAAACAACCCGAACAAAAACCAGTTGCAGTAAAGAAAAATAAGGGTGTTAGCTTGATCACGGCAAAGGAGATCCGTCAAGATTTTGAAAAGGGAGTCTCAATCATGATACTTACAGCCAGGGAGGTCACTAAGGAATTTAGCACCTCCCTTCCTCCTGAAGTCACTCTTGTGATCACAGAATTTGCTGACGTCTTCCCTGAAGATCTCCCAGACAAGTTACCACCGATGTGTGACATTCAACACACTATTGATCTGGTCCCTGGAACGAGTCTTCCCAACTTGCCGCATTATAGGATGAATCCTACTGAGCATGCTAAAGTCAAGAGGCAAGTTGATGAGTTGCTAAAAAAATGTTTTATCCAAGAGAGCATGAGTCCTTGTGCGGTTCCCGCGTTGCTGACACCAAAGAAAGATGGATCGTGGCGTATGTGTGTGGATAGTCGTGTCATCAATAAGATAACAATGAAGTATCGTTTTCCAATCCCACATTTGGATGATATGTTAGATATGATGTTTGGCGCTACTATCTTTTCAAAGATTGATTTAAAGAGTGGTTATCACCAAATCCGCATTCGTCCTGGAGATGAATGGAAGACCGCCTTCAAAATGAAGGATGGGATGTACGAATGGATGGTCATGCCTTTCGGATTAACCAATGCTCCGAGTACTTTCATGCGAGTGATGACGCAAGTATTACGTCCGTTCATGGGTAAGTTTTTGGTAGTCTACTTTGACGACATCCTCATTTACAGTCAATCTCGTGAGCAACATCTCAACCATTTGCGACAAGTTTGCTCTATACTAAGAAAGGAAGAACTGTATGCGAATCCAGAGAAATGTACCTTTCTTACCACACAAGTTCAATTCTTAGGGTTTGTAGTCTCTACTGAAGGAGTATCTATAGATCCTGAGAAAGTCAAAGCGATAAATGATTGGCCCGAGCCCAATAACATCCGTGATGTGAGAAGCTTTCACGGGCTTGCTACCTTTTATCGTCGGTTTATCAAGGGATTTAGCACGATCATGGCTCCAATCACCGATTGTTTGAAGAAAAGCGAATTTGAGTTGTCACGCGAGGCCACCAAAGCATTTTTGAAAATCAAGGAGAGAATGGTCAATGCCCCTGTTATGTGCCAACCCGATTTTAACAAAGTCTTTGAAGTTGCATGCGATGCTTCTGGAGTTAGCATAGGTGGAGTTCTCTCTCAGGTAGGTCATCCAGTCGCATATTTCAGTGAGAAGTTGAATGATACATGTCTGTGATACACCACCTATGACGAAGAATTTTACACTGTAATTCAATCACTTCGCCATTGGCGCCATTACCTGCTGCCGCATGAATTTATCATATACTCAGATCATGAATCCCTTCGATATATTTACTCCCAGAAAAAATTGAATTCCCGTCGTGCGCGTTAGGTTGAATTTTTTTCAGGATTACACTTTCACCTTGCGGCATAAAGCGGGAGTTGACAACAAAGTTGCTGATGCTCTCAGCCGACGAATCTATGTCCTAACAAAATTGTCCACAGTTGTTGGTTTTGAGAGACTTAAAATGGATTATGAGTCGTATCCCGACTTCGGTGAGATGTATGCAATGTTGATTGATGGGACGACTCAGGAAATTGACGGC